ATGGTTGGATATATTTTATATCTTTTTGTTAATAAATGCGATTATTTAATTCAAATATTCGGGTAAAAACATCGTAATATTATTATTTTTTTATTATATTTTTTTTCAAATAATCAACTGTAGAATCAAAGCATCACAAGAGTTTTAAGACGGCTCTCAAAGATGAAATCTTGTTAAAAGACCAAATTAAAACGTTTTTATGTCGTATAAACCGTATCGGATTGATTATAATCATTTTCAAAACATGTTTATTTATTTAATTTTTATACTATTTAATTTTAAAAAATAAGTTATTATTTTTAATATAATTTGTAATAAGAAAAATATAGTTTTAATTAATACATTTTTAAAAATATAGTACAGTTTTGTAAAACATTACAAATAAATAGACTGTGCTCAATATTTTTGGTTAAACAATTCAAATTTTGTTTTTATTTATTTTTTACAACAAAAATCATTTGAAAAATGCGTTTTTAGATGAATTTTATTTTTAAAACCACGTGTTTTTAACGCAAATTTTAAAATTTGGTTTATTGCTGCTCCGATATATATTTTAACATCTATTGTTTACTTAAAGTCACAATAAATAGGTGTTTGCCAAAGAAATTGGTAAATAAAAGAATCATTTGCACGTTGAATAAGTTTTCAAATTTATTATTAATTTTCTGTTTTTATTTCAAATATGTTGTATAAATACAACAACAATAAACGGGAAAATCAGCCAAATAAATATCATTTGAATAAATGTACCAAAGAAACTTGTTCGGGTTCAGAACTTGCACCTTTTTTACATTGATTGTTCATAATTTAAATACATTTATCCCAAATTGTGCATTAAAAAGAATTAAATAAACATGATAAAAATACGAAATATATAAAAATATTAATGCATAATCATATAGTTAATTAAATAATAAAATGAACATTAAAAAATAAGTTATAAAAATATTAAACAATTTTAAATGTAGCAAAAATGGGTAATTTTGCCAATTTACACAACTATTATTTATTAAACAAATTTAAAAACATTGAAAAAATAAGAATTGTAAACGTTATATAGATCGGCAATATTAACGTTTCCAAACATAAATATTCAAGAACAATTAATATAATTTTATAATTATTAAAATAAACAATTCAAATTTATACATAATACCAAATAGTTAAAAATACAAACAAAAACAAATTGATAACATTAGAAATGGATTTTTCAAACATTAATGATTTGAATAAATACAATATTTAATATGCCAACATTTGATTTTAAATGGTTGTAACTTATAATATACAATTGATTATCATTGTTTAAACCATGTTAATTGTATAATGGTTAATTACAATTCAATACGCCACTTATAAAAAGGTGTTTATTAAAAACGAGTAAAATGTAAATAAAAATGTAATTATTAAAAATGTTGATATTTTAACTACGTTTTATTTAAATAAATACAATTTGTTATTTTAAAAATAAAAATTGTTCGGGTTCAAATGTTTTTGATTAAATAAAAAAAATTGTTAAAAAATTTGGGTTATGTCTTGTACTTTTTAGTTCTGTTTTTTTTTCTAGTTTGGTTTGTAAATTTATATAAAAAATAAAGTTGCTTGATTTTGGCAACCAATTACCAAGATCCTTAAACATGTTTGATCTCATATTCGAGAAGATGTGTTGCCTACTTTTTTAACCAATCAAATTCACAATTAACACTTGAAAAACACTTTATATTTAAATGAATTCAAATACTCATTTAATATTTCGGGAATTGAATACTTATTTTTTAATATTATAAATATAGTAAAACAAACTATATTATTAAATCATCATAAAAATAATCAATTATTTACCAAGTGCAGAAAAAAAACAAAGCTTTTGGGTGTTAAAATGATTTGTCGTTGATTCACAACGTCTTATTAAACCGTTATTGTTTTATTTTATTTTCCAAATCATTAAACAGACTTGTTAACACCACTTATTAAACTCAATGTGTTTCACCAAAATCAGTCAATTACATTATAATTTGTAGTTAGAACAGTCAATGAAAAATATCAAATTTTAAAACCATGTAAACTTGAGTTAAAAATCAACATTCCACCCATATGTGGATTGCATGTAATGGTGCTGTTGAGTATTTATAACACGTACTTTGTTGAAATTTTTCATTTGTTAAATAATTAAAATGGTATCTATTAGTTTTCAAACTAAAAATCAAACTAATAATAAGGAACTGATTAAAAAATTATATTTTTGACAGTGGGAAAAAGCGTTATTGCTTTGCTTGGAAATATTTTTGCCCTTAGTGGACTCGCAGAACGAGGATGTAAAAAAACTATGTTGCGATGTATTTTTGAGAGTCGCGGTGAAATTGGACGGCGAATTCATCACACAAATTACAGCAGAAGTCGATTCAAGAATTCAAAGAGAAAGGAGGATGAAACAAACACAATTTGTTTAACTCTTTTTTTGTACTTGTATGTGTTCGCAAAAAAGCGTTCTTTGTGAGAGATATTTTTTACGTTATCATGACAAATTTTGCATTTTTATAGCGACTTTTCAAAAGAAAAAGATTTAGCCGATGGCGTATATGTGTTAAAAATTGAAAAAACAACGACGAGTCGAACGTAGATTTTCAAAGCGACTATTCTCCAGTTTTTTATAATGAGACATTGTTTTTATGTGATACTACTTGACGATAATTATGTCTTTTTTATATTTTAACTCCAATTGTGAATTGCTAATAAATGAGACTTAAAATCGGAAAGCAATATACAATTACAATACTCAAATATTTGTTTGTTTATCGGGTTTTTTCGTGTGTATTACAATGCACATTTTCCCTTTTTTGAATAAGTGAAAGTATATTTAAAAACGTAAATTTTTAAAAAACATTTTTAAAGCAAAAACATTTATAAAAGAAAAAACAGTTTTTAAGTTTTAAATTAAAGACAGTTACCAAAAAACACAAAATAATTTTATTTAATAAAATAAAAACAGCCAACATACATATCATTATTATGCACATCGAATTTCATATATTGTGTTGACTAAACTCTTTACAATTTACCATTAGCAACAAGTTTTATTGTTTAAGTTGACGATGTTTTGAAAACATATTATAAGATTATTAATAATTATTAATATTATATTAGGTCGTTTTTAATGTTTTTCTCGTGGTATGAAATTTGAAACGGCATACGATACAACTTGATACTG